ACTAGGGTTTTTCTGCCCACTGCTGGTCTTGTCCTGCCACCGCACCAGCCCCAATTAACACACCGAGACTCTGTATTTGATATAATGTGTTGGCCAGGTACTAGTTTCCTATCGGCTAGCTCTGTCTTAATTATTAACACATTTCTATGTATTTCCACGTGGTCTTATCTTACCAGGAAGAGGCGGCTGGCGGTTTTGCTCTCTCCCATCTCTCCATCTTGACTCCTCCTTCCTACTTCCTCTTTCCTCCTTGTCTCCTAGTCCCTCCTATCTTCCTTTCCTATTGGCCAACAGTGCTTTATTCATTAACCAGTATGAGAAACATATATACAGAACGACAGCTCCCATCAGCACACAGCTGTTTCTCTGAGATGTCTATTTTCTTTGTTCCCCAAGGATTCTGGGAGCTGCTGAAGAGTTAACTCCTGAGGTTAGGTAAAGTGGTCCTTCATCCGACCTCTGCATTTATTAGGAAGATTCTCAAAGGACATACACAACAAGACCTCCTTTGTTAATATTCTTAAAAATCAAATGCAAGTTTTGCCAGATGCATTTGGGAATCTACCCAAAGCTTTAGTTTCTGAAGTGTCCATTCCTCTTTAAGACCTTTCGATACTTCCCAAACAAAATTGAAAGCAGAATTACCCTGGAAAATGGCAGTAGCGCCTGTGTGACTCCTGGACATGGGGAGGCAGAAGCCAGGCTTCGTTACTGTTCATTCTAATAGTACTTTCTCTTCATTTCACATGTAATTCATGTTAGAGCTCAATCTGGTATTCTTAAAGGATGTATTAGATGAATGATGACTAGATCTAACATAACAAATTAAGATGTTTCCTAGTGCTCTGCTAAGTGATGAAATTTGCTTTGCTTTGAGACAATTTCTCCCAGTGTTGCTTGGATTGATTTTAAACTCCAGGCTTAATTAAGCCTCCCACCTCAGTGTTCTGAGTAGCCAACATTATGGGAGTGGTGCTGGCTAGTTTTCTGTCAGCTGGACACAAGCTAAAGTCACCAAAGAAGGAACCTCAATTAAGAAATACCTGTGCCCTTTGCTTTACATCTAATATCCATGTATAAGCGAGTACATACTGTGTTTGTCTTTCTGAGTCTGGGTTACCTCACTCAGATGGTTCCATCTGGAACTCTAGGCCGACAGCTGTGGAAACTCCATGGACCTGAACTAGACCCTCTGTATGTGGGAGACAGTTGTGAAGCCTGGATTATGTGAGGGGCCCCTGGTAGTAGGAACAGGCTCTATCCCTGGTGCATGAGTTAGCTTCATGGAGCCCGTTCCCTATGGTGGGATGCCATGCTCAGACTTAATGCAGAGAGGAAGGGCTTGTTCCTGCCCCCAAGCTTAATATGCCAGACTTTGTTGACTTCTCATGGGAGCCCTTATCTGTTGGGAGGAGTGAATCGGGGCAGGAGGTGGTCTGGGAAGGTTGAGGGGGTGGTAGGAGGAGGGGTGGTGGGGGAGAACTGTGGTTGGGATGTAAGATGAATTTAAATAAATAAATAAATAAATAAATACAAAATGCCTGCATACGCTATAGTCCAGCCTGTAGGGCATTTTTAAAATTAGTGATTGATGTGGGAGGGGCAAGCCCACTTTGGGTGGTGCCATCCCTGGGCTGGTGGTTCTGGGTTCTATAAGAAAGCAGTCTGAGAAAGCCATGGGGTATACTCCTCCATGGCCATTTGAATGGCTGCCACTAGGTTCCTACCCAGTTTGAGTTCCTGTCCTGACTTCTTTTGATGATGAACTGTGATATGATGTACTAGTATAAACCAAATAAACCCTTCCATCCCCAAGCTTGCTTTTGTTCATGGTATTTTATCATAGCAATAGTAACCCTAACTAAGATGGGGGTATGCTACCATATCCAGCAAAATGATGAATTTTTAAAAATATGCTTAACTGTTAATTCAAAAGTGTTATATACCCTCAAAGGTAGGAAAGAATTTTTAATTAGTTTTCATCAAGGATAATTCCATTTTTTTTTTTACAGGACCTAAGAGACATTCAAAATTAACTATTAAAAACATGCATTGGATACAATGTAGGCAAGTTATTGCTTTAAAATTACTTTTATTGTTTTCTATATTATGTTTTTATATTCCACATAAAACAACACTCACTAATAAACACATTTCACACCTTGGCAGGTGATCTATTACCCTATACAAGCTGATAAAAATGCCAAAATGTATAGGAAAAGGTAAGAGCTTAACTGGATCAGAAACTTATGTTTATATATGTAAATATACATAGGCTTGTGTTCATACCTCCCACTGCATAATTGAGTAGCTCAGACTTTAGTGACCTAAAAACAATAGTCATTTTATTAAATTTCATGACTCAGAAATTCAAGCAGTGCTCCATTGTGTGTTTATTTTGTTCCAAGTAGGATCAATGAATCCTACTGAATGAGATCTGTGTGGTGAATGGATTCAACACAACGCAATTCACATTATCAGGAGACACAGAGAGACAGGGATTAGCCTGTAGTCCTGGCCTATTCCAGTAGCCTTGTCAGCAAAGTGCTGTCAAGAGAGTTAGTTGAATTTACATGTCAGCCCAGAGCTATCCGAGGGAATAACCCAAAATAATATGCTGAAAGTGCAAACTTCCTTATGACTTAACTTTGAAAACCTCAGAATAGCTCTCATTCCAGGTTCTCTGATTCCAAGTTTTCAAGTAGCTAAACTAGAACCAATGCAAGAGTGTGAGTGTCTTTTCTTTTTTTTTTTTGTTTTAATTGTTGAAATTAAAATATGATCACGTCATTTTTGCCCTTCCCTGTCCTCCCTCCAGCCACTCCCATGCACCCCCACCAACTGGTTCGTTCTCAGATTCATAGACTTTTATTTTGTTTTCATTGTTGGTTCACATATTGGAAGAGGGAGCGGAGAGCTCATGACAGACAAAGGGACAGGAGTTTGCTTTGCTGTGAGATTTCCTCTTTTAGAAATGTCAGGGCAGCTATGCCATGAAGTCTCCGGAACATGACTGCCTAAACAAGACCTGAACAGGGATGATGCCACAAAACGGGGAGAACCTCATGGAGTCTCAGCCTTAGATAAAAACCTACATGCAACCAAGGCATCTGGGAGCATGGGAAATCAACTCTTAGTTACAGGAAAGCAAGGCAACGCAATCGACTTTATTCTGCACACAACTAGGCCAACTGGTGGATCACCTGGACATATTATCCCTAGACTTTCAGCATCATCGACCCTGGACTAGCTTGCCGTTTGCTCTTGCGTTATGTTCTAGTCCAGCACCAATGGAGGATGAATGGAATCCCTGCATTTTAACAGTGTTGGATTGATTTGTTTTGCAGCTACCCCATAATTGTTTTTTCACCAAGTCATTGTCAACAGAAAGGACAATTGGAGATTCTCTGAAATGTTGATTTGGGAAGATCGGAGCATTGTGGAGAGAGTAGGCATGCAACAGTAGACTGTGGGTATACTCAAAAAGATTTGAGGCAAGGATATGATTCTAAAGTCAAAAAGAGATGGATTTACATAAGATTCTTGGATGTCAAGATTCTAGGTTTGGGAGATGGGAGGAAGGAGTTGAGATGACTTCACTTGTACAGTAGGTAGGATTGCTAGGATAACGTTTCGCAGGAGCATTTGTATCAACTGCTGTAATCTTGATGTTAAGGATAATATTTTTTTACCTCTAGTGGGAGAGACATGCAAATAATGATGGTCTTTTAGGACAAAAAGATCTTGGGAGCCAAGAAACTACTTACCTCAGACAGGCATGAACACACCCTCCCCCAATAACGCTGTCTGGCTCTAATTTTGTCTGGGTCTGACAAGAAGGATTTCGTCTTAATATCAGTTTTTACGATAACCTAACCAGAAAGCTCTTTTTGTGTGTATTATGGACCCATTATTACTTTTAGAGCCTCTGCCAGTCATAAAGTCATTAAAGGTCAAGCTAGATACCACTCTGGAGAAAAACCTGGCTTCATTTTGAAGATGAGGAATTGGGGTCTCAAGAAGCTATGCAACCTATCCAAAATCAGAAACCAGTGACAGAAGTACACCCAATGGATTGTTTGAAAAGTAACAACCGTGAATTATCTGTAGTATCCATCTACCTTGATTTATATATATATTTTAGTTACTAGTTTTGAGTACAATCGATCCATAAACAACAAAACTAACCCATTTTATTGGCCCTATTCAACAATGTTTTCTGAGTGCCAAGCTCCCTGCACGAACCCAGGCAGTGTTCCAGAGCAGAAAATGTCCCGTCCAGATTCATCTGCAGGAAGACGGCCCCAGAGCTTCTTGAGATTGATTTCATACTCTATCATTTTCGGATTCTTTGGTTGTTATTTAGCCTTGAAGTACTCTTACCGAATGGTTCGCCTTGGAACCGTGACTCTGAATCTACTTACAACCAGCCTCTCTGTGGTAGATGATATCTGAGATTCTGAAATTTCCCTGCATAGAGCACACATGTGGAGTGGTTTAAAACTACTCATAGATGCAATGTGCTGGTCCAGTTCCTTACAGTAGCCCCTTTGTCTCAAGAGAACTTTGCTCTTTGGCTGGGGTGACAGATAGCTCTGACTTTTATATAGACCCACTGGGACTCTAGGTGGCCCTAAGTACTCTTCCTGAAGCTTGGATTTCCTGTTTAGAGGGTGCGCTGTCACCATTAGCTTTTGTCTTCTGCTGCTGAGGCTAATTCATCTTCCTTTTGGACCAGCCGGTGGGGGCGGGGGGTGGACCCGACTGTTGATGGAGACACCTCCTTCCACTCTCTGACCTGGGCGGGATCAGTCTTCCCGCTTGGCTGGGAGGAGCCCCAAGGGGGCGGCTCCCGGGCCAGATGGGGCGGGGCAGCAGCTGACCCCTGTCCACTCCTGGGGACCGTGCAGGGGGGCGCGTCCCGGAGGAGCTGGTCGTCGGCGCTCGGGAGTGGGTTGGCACCTCGGGGGCGGGGCGGCGGCGGGATGGGCGGGCTGGGACGCGTGTGGCGGCGGCCGCGGGGCGCCCGGCTCCTCCCAGCCTGTGCGCTGGAGCGCCGGTGTCCGCGCTGAGCTGTGCGGCGCGGGCCGTGCGAGCTGCCGCCTGCGCCCCGAGCGGAGCGCGGCCATGCCCGGGCCCTAGCGCGCTGCCGCAGCCTCTTCAATGGGCAACCTGCTCGGCGGGGTCAGCTTCCGCGAGCCCACCACCGTGGAGGACTGCGACTCCACCTGGCAGACCGATTCGGAGCCCGAGCCCGAGCAGCCGGGGCCAGCAGGCGGTGGCGAGGGCCAGGAGCACGACGAACCGGAGCAGCCCGAGCAGCCTCCCGAGAGAGCCGGAGGGCGGCCCCGCGCCAGCCCGGTGCCCGAGGACCACGCCGAGGCGGCGGGCGCAGAGCAGGTACGCGGTTCCCGGACCCGTGGTGGGCCCGGCGGGACTGAGCGCCCGGGCACCGCGGAGGGGACAGCGCGCGCCCCCCCGGGGGTTGCAGGGAGGGTTGCTAGGCGTCTGTGGCTCGGGCATCCGACCTGGGCGAGCCTGAGGTGGCCAGGGGCGCCTGGATGGCTAGCTGCTGGCCCGGGGCCTTGCTGTGAGCTCCACGGGGAAGTCCCCCAAGGCAAACCCCGACTCCGCTAGGTGTTATCTTTGCCTCTGCAGCTAAGCTGGGTAATACGAAGGTGGGTTGGGAGGAACCAACCTAAAAATAGAGGACCCAGCCGGTGTGTGTTACTGTTTGTTATAGAAAAAAAAATTTCAGAACAGGACGGGGCTGCATTTTCCGAGTCTACAGTCTCCCCCCCCCCCCTGAGCAGGGTCCACGGCCATTAAAAGTATTGCAGAAAGGTTCCTGTGTGAACTTAATATGCTTCGGTTCTTTCCCTCAAGACAGACCTTTCAACGACTTAAAGACATTCCTTAAGAGTCGTGTTTAACACAGAAGACTTGTTGATCCAACCAAGCTTAAATCATTTGACCAAGTTAGGCAGAGAGGTTAGAAAAGAGAGCGAGAGAGATGGTGTCCCTTTAGACCTCTCCTAGCTTCAGAAACTTTTAAATGGAGAAGCTATATATTTTTTTTAAAGAAGTCTGCAGTGTGTTTAAGGTTGGTGGGTCTGTATCCTAATACAGAATCCTTTTACCACTTAAGGGAAAATGGAGCCCAACTTCCAATGTGACTTCAGGGGAAGCATCACCTTGCCAGGAAGAGAACCCTTTCTATGGGAGCTAATTGAGCATGTTTATAGAGATGGAATGCAATTTCGGGGTATGCATGTTGTTTTAATTCCCCATTTTGGAGAATTGTGAGCCTTCCAGAGAGAATCTTGCCCAGAGCATAAAGGGGGAAAAAAGATGCAAACCTAAGTATGCCTGTCGCCAAAGTGAGGAGCGCATTGGCCCAGATGAGTGCGATCACGGCCACCCTTCCCTTGGGCTCTGGTTTGCGCTTAACATTGTGTGCCCAACCCTAAAACAGTATTTTATGTCATATTTCCATGTTTTATTTTTCCATTTGTCCCCCAGGTAAGTAGCCATCCACAGAAGTTTGGGATATTAAAAAAGAAACAGGTAATAATCTAATCAACTAGGTCAATCTATGTAAAATCGCGTGGTGGTAACATTTAAGCCAGTGGGCTGGAACCTGAGTAAATAGTAAGCCACCCCTTAATGCCCCCCCTCCCGCCCCAAGTACCACCAGAGTTCTTAAATAACCTTTTGGCTTTATGTTGTTACTCTTCACCCTATTTGTTCAGTTCCCCTTTAAAATAGGTTGCAGACGGGCTTCTCCCCACTGTCTTTGCTGCCGGTCCATCTCCCTGTAAACATCAGACAAAGGATGGTGCCATTAACTGAGATGAGGAAGCCTGGGGCGAAAGATGCTTTAGAGGTTAAGTCTTATCTTAAATTTCCCATCCTATTAAACATCCAAGTGGGATTGCAGAGTAGTTAATGTTATCTATAAGTAGGTGCTGGGGCTAGGACTGACTGGAGCTGTAGGCCGTAGGCAGCAGGCGTTTAAGATTGGTTGTACTTAAAAATCAGTGCAAGGTAAGAGGCCATCAAGGAGTCATGAGGGTGGGGGACCAAACTTCTCTAGACTTTCCTAATACAGTTCCTCATGTTGTGGTGTTCCCCAGCCATAGAATTCCTTCGTTGCTATTTTGTAACTGTAATTTCACTACTGTTACGAATTGTAAGTATCTGCTAATGTAGAATGTCTCATATCCAACCCCTATGAAAGGGTTGTGACCCACAGGTTGAGAATCATTCCTCTATACAGAGGGTGTGATGAGGAGGAACAAAAAAAAAAAAAAAAAAAAAAAAAAAAAGAGGACCAGTGACACAGGAAATAAGATAGGAGGGTGTGGTATATTCTGACAGCCCAGTGCTAACATTGCTTCAGGGTGGAGGGTTCCGTGCTGCTGGGAAGTCACTTGGGATGGTCACTGAGACATGATTTGACCAGACAGAGATTTATTTGGAAAGTTCCTGATAGTCCCATTTTTTAATACGATGCTGTGGAAAGACCCTTATTTAGGTCATGGGATGGGCTCTAGAAGGATACAGAGTATATGTAATTCTTTGGTGATGATTTACTTCAAAAGGGAGCAGAGGCTTGGCCTGTAGTTGGGGTAGACTTGGGTCAAGTGAGCTATCATACCTAAGTTTACAGAGACTATAGCATGCTTGCTGGTTTCGGGGAATGGTTTGGAAGAGGGAAGTTTTGATGATTCAGGGGGAAAGGAATGGTATGTTTAGGTACAGAATCCTGGCTGAGGAGGTAAAAGAGGCCAGGATGCAGGACAGATGCTGGCAAGGGGTGGAGGGTGCAATTATTTACACAGCAGTCTTGGGATACAGACAAGACATGAGTCTATCTTCATTTCATAGGTGATACAACTAAGATTTGGCTAAGTGATTTGCTGAAGGCCTCACAGACACTACGTAGCAGAACCAAGACTCACCTTAGTCTCTTGGCTCCACATCTTGGGTCGTTGACCTTTATAACAGGCTTTTCAAATACCCATCACTTCCATCACTTTTAGCAGGGATGAAACCGCCTCAGACCTAATTAGGCAGACACGGAAGCAGCTAGTTCTTGCACTGTTGCTGGGCTCTGAGCCTCGTTCCGTCCCTCTAAGCTCCAGCAAGCAACCGTGTTTCTAAGACACACGCACTAATGACTGCCAGTCAGGTATGTTGTAAGACTCGTGTGAAGTAATTAATATACATGCAAGTGTTTTGTAAATGGCAAAGTGCTTTCTGCAAATGCGGGTGATGATTCATGTGGTTGTAGCTCAGGCTAAGTAGATTCTGAAACTTGCTAGGCAGAGAGCTATTTCGAAAAGTGTGGCAAGAACCAGAATTGAAGCTTTTCCTTGCTTATGTAACATGACAGTGTAACTGCCGTTAGACATCAGAGGATTTGGTGTTAAAGTGGCTCTGTACTTGTAGTAAGAGTGAGAATCACACCACTTCAGAAACGTGTGAAAATTGCTTAGAAGGATGCCAGTCTGTCAACACACACAGAGGGTGGAAGATGATGAGAGAGGAAGGACCAGTGGCGGCGGGGGGGGGGGGGGGGTGCTTTCTTGATGAATATTCATATTTTAACACCGCAGGCTTCACCATGTCCCATCATTGTCCTGCATGTCACTGGACAAAAGCGTTTTGTCATACATGATATGGTCTGGGTAGCTAAAGAATGCCAGCCCTGCATCTTATTGGTCTACAATGCCATCACAGAAGTTGCACTCTGTAGGCAGCATGAGTGAACTACCACATAGAACGCACTTCAGTCAACATTCATTCGATCCCAGAGCTCTGTTTTGCTTTGCATATTTATCTCAAGTTTGCTGATTTTATAGCCTATTGATCATTGAATGGGCAGATGATTATTCATGCCTTGTATGTTACGTTGTTTTGAAGGAGTTCAAACGCAAGCTAATTTAGTTGAAAATGCCCCTTCCCTTTCATAACTCTTACTTGACTTTCAAGTGCTGCTCTGAGATGCGAATTTAATGAGAATCTTCTGTTTAGAATTGATTTACCATCTTAACCCTTTCATTGTCCTATATGAAATAAACTTTGTCATAGGCTCATTTCACATCTGGTGAAACATGTTTTCAATGCATTCTGAGTGCTGCTCTGGATCGATACTGATCCTTAGCATTTGCCCTCCAAAAGCGTTGGACAGTTTACTCTTTAGTGAGTTGAAAGTTTATTATCTAGTGATAGACCTTAGGACACGAGTTTGTAATGCAAACGAGGAAGCCATGCCAGCAAGCGCTGTTCGTGAGCATCATTAAAGAGAAAGAGACGCAATAGTTTCCTGTATCTGGACGTGCTGTCAATGTTCAGGGCTCTTTGTGGATGCTGAGTATTTTAGAGTTCTTTCTGGAACTTTCTGAGGATCATTCTCTGTGTAAAAGGAGTGTCACTCTGTGTCTTAGGGTGGTGATCCCACAGAAGCAACTGCTAAACCAAAGAGGAGCTTCCATGCTGCGAGGGATCTGTACAAATACCGACATCAGTACCCAGTAAGACAACGGGGGGAGGGGGGTGCTTTCCCCCTTACATGTAAACTCTTGTCTTTCCGTTTTTCTGATTTTACTCTGCTGGTAAGAAAACATGTCAGAAGGGCCTTTGTGCCTTTTTTTTTTTTTTTTTTTTTTTTTGCATGTTTTCATATATTGGAGATTAATATATCTTTTCTTTTAGCAGAACTTCAAAGATATCCGATATCAAAATGACTTGAGCAACCTTCGCTTTTATAAGAATAAAATTCCGTTTAAGCCAGATGGTGAGTAAGCAACCTTGGTAAAAAGCAGATTTTAAATCCTAACAGATATCTGCGTGTTCTTTCCTTATTCTAGACTTTGTGTATTCTTGCTGCATTTATTGGTTGGTCAGCTTTGTTTTTTTGCCTTGCCGTGCAGGCTGATGTGTCCCTGGAGCCCGGGGTTTTAGAGTTGTGGTCATCCATTTAGTGAACTGTGGAGAAATGGATATTGGTTAGCTCTACTTTCGCATTACCTGTGTGTCATGGTGGTTTTGTGTGTGTGTGTGTGTGTGTGTGTGTGTGTGTGTGTGTGTGTGTGTAAAAGAGGGGTTTGTAGAACCACAGAAATTCAAATGACGAGATTTTGAAGGGGGTTGAATACAGCCTTTCCATCTTGAAGATGCGGTAACCGGCATTTGAAACCTACGTGACTGCCTTGCTGGGTCACTGAACTGATTTTAGAGTGGGGTTAAGTTCCAGGGTCTGCTGTTCTTTCTGATATGCCCCTAAACGTTATTTAGACTATTAGGAAAGATATTGCTTGTATCTAGAATCACCTTTGCCACTTTTCAAACATCAAGGGTTGGGAAACTACAGCAATCCAATCCAAACCCTGCCAAATCAGTGTGCCTCCTTCACAATTGCACAGCCTCCCTCCCAGCATAGGAGCCTTTCCCAAACCCATAATGGAAACTCACAGTTGCTATGGTAATTTGATTACAAACTTGTAAGAAAGGAATGAGGCAGCATACTGTGGCTCTCAATGGGTGTCCGAATTGTGGACAGGCAAAGCAGAGTCCCCTTAGAGGTGTAGTATGAACTGACCGGGTTCTCTTGATTCTTGTCACTCAGTGAAAACTCAGTGACATTCATGAGTCAGCTAGGGGAGGTCCTAGATCAGACATCCTCAACCTGTAGGCTGTGACCACTTTGTGGTCGAATGACCTTTTCTCAGGGGTCGCCTAAGAACGTCGGGAAGCACAGATATTTACATACAAGCTCCTGTCCTTTGGGAAGAGGGAACCTTGATTGGGAAAATACCCCCATCACATTGGTCTGTTGAAAAGCCTAGGGAATTTTCTTGATTGACGACTAATGTGGGAGGGCCTACATCACCAGGACAGTGCCATCCCTGGGCTGGTGGTTCGGGATAGTGTAAGACGGCAGACATGCGAGTCATAGAAATCAAACCAGTAAGCAGCATCCTCCGTGGCCTCTGCTTCAGTCCCTGCCTTGAGTTCCTACCCTGCCATCTTCGCTTCAGTTGTTGACGATGATGCCGCCGGAAGTGTGAGCGAAATAGGCCCTTTCCTTGCGGTGTTGCTTCTGCTCATGGCATTTATCACAACAGGGACCCTAAGCCATATGCCTTCCAGAGCATTAGGATCTTGCGTGGTTAAACTGGAAGGGGAGCTCAAAGCCTGGATGTGGTATTTGGAGAGGGAGTCCTGATTCCGTGCCCTGAGGAGCATTGTCGGAATGGCCAAAGTCAATTAACTTGAACTTTTTGGGGTCCCAGGAGTCTGGAGGCAAACCTGTGGACATAGATGCAGTTGCCTTTACCACTGATTAAAAAAAAAAAAAAAATGCAGGGGAAAAATGACCCCAGCGTGGTAAACCTGTGGTGTGAGTCAATATAAATTTTCACACTTTCTGGGTGGGGCCTTGGTGACAAGCTGCTGATCTTTGAGAAAACAGGAATGAGATGAGTTGTGGGTTTGTTTATTTGTTTGTTTGTTTTTGTTCTTTGTGAGATTAGCTAACTGAACTATTATAAAGACCTTGACAGACTTGAGAATAAAAAGGACTTTATTAAGTTCTTATAGGACAACATGGGTCATAATAAAAGGGCTTATTTTCTACAGATATGAAGACCAGTGTTCTCTCCTAGACTGTTTTGTTACTAGTGTGCGACTTTGAAGAAATTGATATTATTATTATTATTATTACTGTTATTAATTTGCTAGCATGTAGCTTTGAACAAATATACCACTTAAGGAACATTGTTTTTATGAATAATTTGTTTTGTTAGTCATGTGGAGATGATAATGCTGTTTGGAATAGTTTTTCTGTACAGAGACAGATAGCAAATATGTTAGGCTTTGCAGAACACTCAAGTCTGTGTTTTACTAAAAAGCATTGTGGACAGTGTATAAATAGTGTGCTTGTTTATATTCCAATAAAACGTTATTTGTAAAATTATCATTAGCCCATATTTGCCATTCTCTGCTTTAGAGTACCTTACCCAGCAGAACATTTGTAATCTGAGGTGCTATTATTTATTTATTTATTTATTTATTTATTTTAATTTGGCTTATTACATTATAGAGTATATGGCATAGAGTATTCCTCTTTTAGGGGTGTTCTTGTGTGTTATTTTTAAACTAAATACTTTAATATAAAACTCAGGTGACTTGGATGTTAGGATGCCATCACCATGTTTTCAATGAATGGTTCATTTTCAAAACATTTACTTTTTAGGTGTTTACATTGAAGAGGTTCTAAATAAATGGAAAGGAGACTATGAGAAGCTGGAGCACAACCATACTTACATTCAATGGTCAGTTAAATGTTCTCTGCCTTGAACCATGTTCTGTTTAATCATGTGTCCTCAAGACAATGCTAATTGAAATTTTTCATTTTATTTTTAACAAACTAGGCTTTTTCCTCTGAGAGAACAAGGCTTGAACTTTTATGCTAAAGAATTAACTACATATGAAATTGAGGTAATGCAAGCTCATTTCATCTTCCACAGGATAGCCAAATAGCATCCTTACTTTAATGTCCCAATAGCTACTGCGTCATTTCAAGTGACTTTCTTCTTCCTTCTTATATTAGGAATTCAAGAAAACAAAAGAAGCAATCAGAAGATTCCTCTTGGCCTATAAGATGATGCTAGAATTTTTTGGAATAAAGTTGATTGATAAAACTGGTAATGTTGCTCGGGCTGTAAATTGGCAAGAAAGATTTCAACATCTGAATGAGTAAGTGAAGCCCCCTGGTAAGCCAGTGGCCTTTTCCTTGGCCCTGTTCTCTAGAAAGTAGGGCTGGCTAGCCATTGGGCATAGGACTGGCTAGCCATTGGGCATAGGACTGGCTAGCCATTGGGCATAGGACTGGATAGCCATTGGGCATAGGACTGGATAGCCATTGAGCATAGGACTAGATAGATGTAGGTCACTGAAATAGCTAGTCATTGGGAGCAGGACAAGCTAACTGTTGGGCATAGGACTAGTTAGACACTGAGCATGGGAACAGCTAGCCATTAGGCATAGGGATAGCTAGACATCAACATTAGGACTACCAGATTTTGGGCATAAGACTAGCTAGCTGTTGGACATAGGACTATCTAGATGTTGGGCATAGAAATAGGAATCGAAATGCATGTATTCCTTCTTGTACATACTAAAGCAAAGCACAGAAACTCCAAAGGACAACTTTTGCATAGAACATTGGTAATTCTGCTGCAGAGTGGTTTCTTTCTGAATCCTCTGCCGGCAGCCAAGTGCGGCTTCTCTTTCCGTGTGCCACATTTCATGGGGTTTATAGCTATTGCTTGCTTGTAGTCTTTCATCTATTTTCTCTTAGGCTATAGGCTCCTTGCAGTAGAGGCGGTTTATAATATCTTTATGCATGCAAGTGCTTAGATTAAATTCGTGACTGAGGTCTATGCTATACAAAAATGGTTTCATTCAGTGTGGCCATACTTCTAGCTAAAAAAGAGAAAAAGTTATCTTCGTGAGTTAGGTAAATGACAAGTTAATTCCAAAATCTATAAAGGAAGATCTAACAGCTTTCTTGGATGTGTTTAGTTGTATTCTTTTGCTTGAATATGTATAATGGTAATTAATACTTATAACCAAAGTTTAGTTTTAAAAATATTTTCTTCATATGCACACTGGGTTTTTTTTCCCCCATTTTTAATTATAGAGTGACTTATGAGTACTGGACTGTAAACCCAACAATTTTAAGAAACTTTTTTTAGCACCTTGTAATTAGCTGAACTGGGCAAGAATTAAGAAAAAAAAAAAAAAAAACTAACATAAGTGATTTCTCTTTGCCAAAAACAATCAGAGTCTTGGCATCAGCTCTTTAAATTTTTTGCATCTTCCTAGAATTTACCCTTGCTTTGGTAAAAGGAGTAGAAATACTAGTGTTGGGGCATCTTTTTCCTGTGTTGTAACACTATTAAAATAGTGGCTCTGCTAAAGCCTTGACAATATGGGCATAAACCTTTATGATCCCGAGACCTGTTAACTTCTAACTCGGCTTAAGTTTGGTAGGTAAGGTATTTAAAGGCAGGTGTGTATGCATCTGCCTGTGTCATGCAGATAACCACATCTGGATGGCTTCTAAGCAACTTTGTCATACTGTTGAAGAAAGCTGTTTGCAAGTCAGCCTTTAGCAAAGGTCCCCACACCTCACTTTGCGTGTACTCACTACTATCGTTTTGTAACTTCTGCTCGGAATGTCAGCGTCGTTTGGCACATTGACATTATAAATCCTGGGCAGAATGTGATCAGAGGCTGACACCTCCCCAGGGTGTCATCTGTCAGGTCTTTTCATTTAGAGCCACACAGAGCCCTTTCTGAAGGCTTTATTTAGTTAGGTTGCCTCTTAGCCTCAGTCAGAAGAATGGCCTGAATTCACAGCCCCCACTCTGTCCCACCTAGCAATCTCTCCCCCTGTCATCCAGTGTCTCTCTGCTTTCCCAGCTCTGAATGAACTCTCCTAGGTATATTTAAAAAAAAAAAAAAAGGAGAAAAGAAAGAAAAAAAATTTGAAAATTTGTACAAAACATTTCACATGTATATGTGTACATGTGTGTGCCTGCTTGTCTGTGCATGTGGCTACATATGTGCAGATGCCTGAAGAAGTCAGAAGATCCAGTGGAGCTGGCGATCCCAGGCAGTTGTGAATTACCTAATGCAGACGCTGGGAAACAAATATGGATTCTCTGCAAGACTTTTTTTTTTTTTTTGAGACAAGGTCTCTGAGTCCATTTGCCATCCTGCCGGCGGCACCGTCTTCCAAATCCTGGACTACAGGCACATGCCACTGCAACTTGCCAAAAGTTTTTTTTTTTTAATTGTATTTGAGCAAATGATGTGGAAAGATGTAAACATATCTCCTCTATTTTCATTTTCATTGGGGTTTTTCTGTGACTTATCCTTAAATGTCATTGCTTATATGTGATGGAAGCCATGTGGCATCTTGAACCTTTTAGAATATCCTGGGATTTGGTTGTATTTCTAGCTCAGTGGAGGAAAACTGTTTACCGTTTAATCAGAGTAACACTCGGTAACACTGAGTGAGCAAATGACCGTGAGATAAAATACGTGGAGAAATACGTTCAGGCAGGAAAGTATAGGTAAGCAGATCAACCACCAAGGTGCTGTGCAGGCCATGTTTTCAGCGAGCCATACTTGTTCTGTCTCTACCTATCTAGTCTTCTGGCAAAATCAACCCTACTCTTTTTTGTCTGTATAGCCGCCCTTCCTCCATTCCCAGCAAGCCCAAGCCATGTACAGCTTCAGCAAGATTTAACTTTTCTTTCTACCACGTTGCCTTTCAATGCAACATTTATTTCAAATTGTACTGAAACACCCAGTGTCTCTGTTTTATAGACAATGCCATTCTAGAATCCTGATCATAATTTTCTTCAGCTGGTGTTTTTTTTTTTTTTTAACTTTACATTTTTTTCTGTTGCATAAATAATTTCACTCATGAATGTACAGATATTAACGACTGTGTATGCAAATACTAACTTTCCTGTTCACCTTAGAGTGGTTTGTTGCAAGTCTTGTATCTGCTTCACCCTGTTTCGGGTTTTGTCAGGTCCTTCAGTCTAAGAGCTCTACATTAGTGTGGCAGCTAAATCAATCCTGTCGCTAGCGGTGTGGTTTCCTAATGTCACCCAAGTCACATTGCTCAAAACACATTTTAAAATATAGATTTGAGGCTGGAGAGATGGCTCAGCAGTTAGGGCAGTTACTGCTCTTGCAGAGAGGACCAGGGGGTGGGTCCCAGCACCCATGTGGCATCTCACTGCCTGTAAATTCAGTTCCTGTGAGTCTGGCATCCTCTTCTCACCCTCCTCGTCTCCTGCACACACACACACACACACACACACACACACACACACACACACAAAATGCATATACACTTACACGGCTATGCACACAGACACATAAATAAGCTCTAAAAATTCAGATACCACATACATATTCATAACCCTCAGACATATGTCTAAGTGTCACCTTTCACATTGAAAAGAATTAAAATTTAAATAATACTTTGGGGACAAAGCATCCAAGAGGATAGAGATAATACAATTTGTGTGAGTTTATCTATCCCAGTAGTTGGTTAATTCAGAAAATTAAGATTTTTGTTTTGTCTGTATTCTTTCATGGAAATATAAGACCATGGAGCCTACTTCAGTATCTCAAATAATTTGACATCTTTCTCCAACATTCCCAGATGGTTTGGCAATTACTTCTAATTGAGAATTCAAGCACATTTGGAAGCTGGGGCAGATATGCATGGCACTTTCAAGAAGGTCCAGTGTCTGATGTAAAGCAGGGTTTAGGGAGTTGGAAGCCTGTGCTCATTCTGTTGTGTAACAGTTCTGGGTTAGCATGCACCTGACCTGTTACTGTCAGACATGTTTCTGTAATGGGGGGGTCTGAAGGTTTTGGCCAGGGGTAAGGCAAGTGCATTCAGCTGGACAGGGCTGGGGAGGTAGGTGATGACTTGTGACAAACTGGAAAGCGCTAACCCAATAGCGGCCTCAGTTTTGAAATAAAAAGGCGTGTAGCAGTGGCATGTGTGGGAAGTCCGTGTTCGGAATCAGGGTTGTGATACGTGAGACTCATGCTCTTTTTTTTTTAAGGTGAGGTGAGGTAAGAATGGCTTGGAAGAAGTGGGTTAAACTGAGTGCACATACAGTGCTACTCGATCCAAATTCTATCTTAGTAGATGGAGTAGTACTCATAATGCTAAGAGCTGAGGTTGGTGGGTGACACTCTTATAATGCCAGCACTGGGGAAACTGGGGAAGTGAAGATGGGCAGATCCCTGGGAATGCTGGCCAAGTGGCCTAGCCTCCTGGAGGCCAATGTGACACCCAGGCTCAAAAAAATAAGGTGAGTGGTAGCCGTGAAACAGCGCCGGAGGACACGTATGCACATGCATATATGTATACCCACACCCACATGCACACACAAAATAGTTCTAAATAACGTCCCAAAGTTCCCAAGTTTGTCCATGTCTTTCATTTGTATCATCTCGTTGGGTTTTTTACAACAGTACAGTTAGAGTGTGGGCCCTTTCCCCCATTTTACAGGTGGAAACACAGAGGCTTAGATGGGCATTGTAATTTCACATTGCTGTTGAGTAACAAAGCTAGGGTGTGACTGGCTCTGCGATCCATATTCTCTCAACAGCTAAGGTGGACTCTGTCTAGCCAGGTACTTTCCTTTGTCACAACTGCTCTAGCCGGATAACAGGACTGAGCCCTGTGTTCCTATGACTTACCTTATCTAGCAGATTTTGCTGTCAGTTGGTGCTGCTAATCACCATTTGGCTCTTAAGTAGTGTGTCTCTGGTTGGCCGTGGCTAACTGTGATAAGCAGCATACATCGATGATGTTGCAAGCAGAGGCGTTCCCTGTGGATGCTGGAATTCACAGATGTACAGACCCTGTACATACTCTGTTTTGTGTAGGTACATGTCCATGATGAGGTTTCTAAGTTACACATGCTAAGAGACATAACTAGTAATAAAGTGGAGCGGTTATAACATTCCTGTAGTAAGAGTTATGTCTCCTTCACCACTATCCCATCTGTTTTTATACCAGCCTTACTTCCTATGGTGATACTAGCTAACCTGATGCTTGGCTGTTTGTGCAAGCTGCTCTCCTACGTCACTGGTCCCCAGATATGTATAAACAAGGTAACACTGGCAAGGATCCATTCAATCTCAATAGTTCTTTATATGAAGAGTCTATTAAAGAGGATTGTTTGTTTTTACATTTGAGTTTCACATTGGTTACATTAACATTACACCGAGGCCTCTGCATTAAATGCATTCCATTCTCTCTCATTTTAGTCAATTCTCTCTTTCAGGTCCCAGCACAACTATTTAAGAATCACACGAATTCTGAAAAGCCTTGGTGAGCTTGGGTACGAGAGTTTTAAGTCTCCTCTTGTGAAATTCATTCTCCACGAGGCTCTAGTGGAAAACACTATTCCCAATATTAGGCAGAGCGCTCTGGAGTATTTTGTGTATACAATTAGAGACAGAAGAGAGAGAAGAAAGCTCCTGCGATTCGCCCAGAAACATTACACACCATCAGAGAATTTCATCTGGGGGCCGCCTAGAAAAGAGCAGCCAGAGCGAAGCAGAGCTCAGAAAACTCCTCTGCCAACTTCGGGATCGAATAGTCAAACTTCTGTGCACAAGAAATCCAAGGACTCCAAAAATTCCTCAGCAGCTATCCACCCAAATAGTAAAACTGTGGAAGAAAAAAAGGGGGCCTCTCGAGAGACTGGAGAGGAGACAGACAAGCCGGGTCCAGAGCCCCACAGTGAAGATACCAAGCCAAGAAACACAGAGAAAGACAGTGCTATTGAAGAATCGAATTCCCCACCCGAGGAGAAAACAGTTCCTGAGACCACAGGGAAAGGGGAGTGTCCAACTTCTGAAAACATCAGAGATGGGGAAACCCAGAGCAAAGACTCGGAAAATTCTGAAAACACCAGTTGCCACGATGAGGTAGTGTCACAGTGAATTGTCACAAACCAGTTCCCGTAACGGGAATAAAGAGGTAGTCTAATTTATCCTGAAGAACAGAGATGAGGTCATGCTTAAGATGGTAGCCACCTGTGGCTTTTGTTGTAAGCCCCTGGTTCTTGCTTTTGGATCACAATGAAACTGGATATTGAGTAAGGAAATTTTTAAAGCGGATCCAATTAAAGAATATATTTAGGGTGTGTTTCCAAATTCTGTATATAACAGTCACTTTAAGAATATTTTCAAGTTATCTAGAACTCATGGAGTAGCGTTTGGCATCCAACGCTCTCTTGAGAGAGTCATGCAGAAATACGAGCCTCTCGTGATGCCCTGACTTTTACTCATTTTGGAGCTGGAAGGGTGAGTTAGGTGTTCTCAAATGTAGCCAGAAAGTAATCTGGACTCAGCTAGCAGCACCTCAGTGTCCTCGGCTTTGGCTCTGGAGTGGCTGTCCTTCCCACTTGCCGGCCGTCTGTCTTGCTTCCATTCCGGATCCCACATCGAGTTTGCTAGTATGGTAGGACCCTCTCCTATTCTGACGTCCAGGTGGAAGAGGGGCGAAGTTTTAATAGCCTGATTTCAAGATTTTTTTTAATGTTTAGAATAATAAAGGTATTTTCAGTAATAAGTGCTTAGAAAGGATTTGTGTGTATGTGCGTGAAAAAAAAAATCCAGGACAAAAATAGACTTTGTGTGTGTGTGTGTGTGTGTGTGTGGCTGTTCTATACAAAATTGGTGATTGATTATGGGTGCAAATACTTAGGAGTGCTTTAAAAAAACAAACAAAAAAAAAATCACAAAAGTTAGTCATTTTTAAAAAGATGTCCTCCCACACTGTCAGCAAACACTTTTGTCCTTTGAGCCATTGGTCCATTGATGCCATGAGCATTATGGGATTACTGATGTCACTAGTCCACAGTGTCTTTATGCGTGTGTGTTATGTTCATCTTTAGTTCGTCAGTTTGCAATTACATATGCTCACTTTCAGTGAGCACTAGGTATATTTCATCGCATTGGCTAAACATTTTATTTTGTACAGTGTTGCCAATTATCATGACATATCTGGAGACAATCAGAAACACTGTGATGGGAACTTCAAAACATTCATACAAACACAGACAACGCAGTGAACAGAGACTTTTTTACTTTTTTATTTTGCAAGGGATTGACTTTTTAAAATCTCTCTTCAGCCTTTTAGAAAGGTCCTGTGCGATTTCACTGCAACCCAGGGAGCGTCTACTGTTTCCTCTTGCGTGGCACGCCAACAGCATAATCATTTTGTTGGGTTTTTTCCAGCCACGCTTTCAGTACTGATTCCTACAGACTACCCTACCAACCTCGCGCTTTGTAGGAATAAGATTTACTGTTATTAAATTTACACCACACAGCCCTGTTGCTTATCCCTGATTTTTTTTTTTTTTCTTTTTTCTTTTTGTGCATGAGAGCGACACTGGCGGGTGTTGTGTATCATAACCCAGTAAGTAAGACACAAACCACTTCATCATTTAGTTACTGTAATTCGACACAGGGTTCAGGGATGAAAGAGGACTACTAAATTAGTCCGAATTGTAGTGATGTGATCAACTTAATTCAGAATGTCTTAACTGTGAACACATAGTGAAGCATTCAGACCACTTTAAAGATATTTAGTATATAAAACCATGGGGCCAAGGGGGCTGGAGAGATGGCCCAGAGGTTAAGAGCACTTGGTGCTCTTTCAGAACACACCTATACTAGGTGGTTCACAACTGCCTGGAGTACCAAGGGGTCTGGCTTCCAGGGGAAACTGCATACATGTGGTGCACATACGTACATGCATGTGCACACATACATATAAATACGTTTTTTAAAAAATAAACATGGGTCAAATACTAAAAATATTTTTTAAAGCCAAGATACCAGAAACTAAAATTAATATAACCTGAATCACTTAGCAATTGTGGTGTACCAGAACCCTTAGAAACAAAAACATTTAACAATTTAGATTTTAGACTGTTGTTCCCTATTAATGGTTTTGGTAGCTTGTACTATTTAACTTGAGAATATTTAGTCTCAAGAGGAGAGCTTCCTGGCTTCCATCTAAAATAGTGGCCTTTTTTTCACAGTGGTTATTTAAACTGCATATTCCTAAGATGGCAAGGTTTCCTACGTTTAATCTGTAAATAACAGAGAGAATTACTCAGTGAAGAACAAGTTAAAGGAACTCAACCCTTTTGCTGATAAAAATCAAACATCTCAAATTCTTTTCTATTAAGAGCACTTTGTACATTTAATAGTTTTTAACATTAGACCTATAGATGATGTATTTATGTGTGTGTTACATATCAAACACTCTCTGAATTTCACTTCTATGTTTTGTGTTTTTCAAACTATCATATGCTTACAGAAATTTGCTAAAAAGCTGTTCTAGAAAATGCTGTATAGCATGGCCAAGTAGTTAGATGTATCGCTGAGCATCCACAGGTGTTCTCTTATGGTCTTAGTTGTCCCATGGACTGTAAGGACACTAAGTACTGGTTATTGATAAAATTACATTTCACAACAAATAGATGTCGTATTGCTTGACTAGCCTAGTGTATTTCTAATATTTTTTGCTTTCATATTTCAGAGAAGAAAATATATGTGAAGATATTTTGAAATACTATAAAGTGATAAATAGTTATATATTTCTGTACGGTGGAGAGGTTTCTGATATTAAGATTATTATATCAGTCTGCATCCTTGAGCTCATTTTCATGAGAAATTCTAAATAATCCATGGTGGACGTTAAAACAAACAAACAAACTGTGCTTCCTTTAAATTAAGCCTAGTTGTCAGTTCTAAAATAAAATAGCTTAATTTTGTCTTATGTTTTGAGACTATATTTTTCAGTTTTAGCAGAGAAGGTGTATAACTCAGAAGTTACTAAGAAAGCTCTAAGGTTGTTTTCTTATTCTTTTTTTTTTTTTTTTGTGGCGTTACATATGTAAATACAAGAACATATAATAAAAACCTGTCACAGCCACACCCTCCTGATTTTCACAGTTTACTAGGAATGAAGGTAGGATGGGTTAAGAAGAAAAGAAAAAACTACAGTATGGTAGTCCTTAAAAAACATTTTGGTAAATGAACCTACATGCCAAATGGCAAAAAGAAAAACAAAAGTTAAATGAACAAAGAATATTTGGTTAATTGCTTTAACGTCAGAGACTCCCGTTTATGATAAAGTGATTGAGGCAAGCAGATGTAAAACTGCTCTCTAGGCTCCTCTAAAATCTGTGGTTTGTAACATAAGAACATTTTAAAATCTTAATTATAGTACATCCACAGGTCTTTAATGACTATTTGGAGTAAGATCCCTTATTACAGGAGTATGGGGGAATAGTCTGCTATTTTCCCACTTAGAATAATTTCCTTTGCCTTTCTCTCTCTCTCTCTCTCTCTCTCTCTCTCTCTCTCTCTCTCTCTCTGTGTGTGTGTGTGTGTGTGTGTATGCGAGAACACAAACTCGAACACACACTGAGCTGAAATTGGACTTACTAGAATCATTCAAGGTAGGGGTAGTTTTAGAGGAAGATAGCTGGAATGAGTTTTGGACCTAGGAACCTAGCAATACACATCTACTCAACTCTTTGAGCACTGGATTTGTAGTGTTTATTGCAGGAACAGATTTGTGTGGGAAAGCTCTAGTGTAACAGTGAGTACTACCCTGCCTCCCCCATTGTTCTAGTGAGCCAGTCCACCCAGCAGGTTGTTTCAGAAACAGGCTGCTTTTAGAAATCTCACTATTGATGTGAAGGCCTAGAGGTTTCAGATGTGCCTTAATTGATGTAAATGGTTTTCTTTCAGAAGTTTACATCACTATCCCATTGCAAACTCTTTCCACAAACCATGAGTATAAGTCATGCTAGTAAAATTGGAGTTAATGCGTTATCATTTTGGAGAAATTACCATTTAATGACAAGAGCACCAATTCCTAAAGTATATTCACCACAGTTTTAACAATGTGTCACCTTTGCCCAGAGGGTTCAGAGGAGCCAAGATTCATCTATGTTACTGTGTTACTTTTATGTTTCTCAATTCTTTTATATGCTGGCTCAGTGAAACTTTGCTTATTGCAAGTCATAGTGATCTGTTTTACTTTCTGTCATTGCATTCATTCAGATGGCTACAGTGAATGGAATGTTATTATAGAAATTATTCAAGTCTCCATTACTAGTAGTTGTTTCGAGGAATCTGAAATTAGCTTGGAAGACCTTCATGTTACATTTTAGTAGGCATGTTTTAAAGGCTTGTTCTTGCTTTTCCCATAGATGAGAGAACATATTCAGTGTCATCTGCTTTTGCCAATTCTGTTGTGAAATTCATTGCTTTGGTTATTTGTGGAAAATAACTTCCTGGGTTGTGTTTTCTTGAATTAAAGTTTTCATGTGGAAAATCATTTGATGGGCTGGTGCTGTGGTCCTAACCCTGGCTGGCTGGAAATGGAGTTCAGAGGAGAGGTGGTTAAGGATCATGTAGGCATCTTGGAAGGCAGAGCAAGCCCCTTTCATGGCCATGGGGGTGGGGTGGGGCTTCTTCACAGATTGATCTGGTTTGTGAAGCTGTTGGACCTGTGATCTGTGCTGCCCAGCAATAATAGGCTTTCTTGGAGCCCATGCCCAATTTCAATGCGTGTTGTTTTCTACACAATATTTGCTCTAATTTATTTGCTACCATTTTACAACAGCTTAGAAATTTGTGAGCAAATGGGCATCTGCTATGTAAATTAGTTCTATCAAATTTCTTTTGAGCTGTTCTCCCACAGACTTATTGTATTAGCCAGAGTTCTCTAGAGAGACAGAGCATATCGTGTGTGTGTGGGTGCGCACACGTGTGTGTTTGTGTGCACGCATGCCCATGTACATGCATGTGTATATAACAGAACTTATAGAATACACACACACACTATATATTCTTATAACGTTTAGAATACATACATTTTGTTGATAGCCAATGTTTGTCTAGAACAGAAGATCCAAGAATTCAGTAATAGTCCAGTCCATGAGGCTGAATTACTCAGATGGTCTTCAGTACACACTGCAGTCTGTAATGCCTGTGAAGGAAGGGACTTGACAGCAAGAACTTGAACAAGAAGGTGGAGAGTGCCTTCCATGTCCTTTCTGGCCGAAGGTATGGCCCTAATTGAAGGTGACTCCACCTCAAAAGATCTGGATTAAAGGCGTATCTTCTCACAAGTTTTGTTTTATTTTGTTCTTTAAGAAAAAAATCCCTCACAGGTATACCAGGCTGCTTGGGTTTTAGTTAATTTCAGATGAAGTCAGGTTGACAACCAAGAACAGCCATCATACTTCTATTTTAAACAACAACATCATAACAGCAACAAAATCCCTTCTTGTAAAGCAGTTGTGAGAGGAAGCTTGAATGTCTACTATTTGTTATTCTAAACTGTGTTTTAAATCAGAGTGTCTTAATGACACATTTTAAATGATGCTGTTTAAATTTATTTTTTTTTTTAATTGAGAAGTTTGCAAACTACAAGCAACTAAGGAATGCTGTGAGAGAGAAATATTTTTCCCCAGAGAAGAGCATACTAATTGATAATCCGGTATGGTCAGCACTGAGAACATATGCAGAACATATGTATGC